CATGTTTAATAATATTTATATACACAACAATCGTATTAAAGTATATTATGATACTCATTGAATCATCATTCGATCCAAATGGTATAATTTGTAATTTAATTTGTAAAATTATTTTAATGAAATAATGGATCATAAGTAAACATATAGTTACAGCCTTACCATGGAATACTATCAAAATAGCAGAGAATATGATCATTACACTATATGATATTAACTACAGAGGCGCTTTTATAAAGCCATTAATACGTATGATATTTGATAAGAAAATAAATTTTAATGCTTTAAAACTAAATTGATTTAAAAAATGCATACGTTTTTCGTAGCATTTGATTTTATACTGTTGGTTTTCGCATCAAATCAATTAACAGTGTTTAAAAATGAATCAAAAAAAAGAAATATTAATCGAAAAAATAGAGATTTAACATATGAAAAAGAGTTTCCGGACTACATGACTCAGACCAGGTGAGTCGATATCAAAAACCCTCTAAATAAATATCATATAATTACTTCTTCTTCTATACTGCAGATCAAATTTGGATGTTTTAAAAAGATTTATATTCGATAACTCTTTGTGGATGATTCTATTTGTTATATTTTGGACAGGTACAAAAAACGTGGATATATTTTCGCTTGGTTATTTGTGTGCTGGCACTATATTATTTTGGAAAGGTATATACTATTATATAATGCCACCGACTTCAATCATTAAACTGTAAGTAAAATTATTCATTACAAAAATATATTATAAAATGTATAACTTACGAAAAAGGGTTGCTAATAAATCAATAGTTTTAAATACAGTCAATAAATTTTCTTTGTATTCAATAAATTAAAAACTGTGTATAAAAACGTTTATTCTATTATCTAATAGGATCAATGAAAGTGGATATTATGCACTAATTTTTTTTTTTATTGGGCTTTTCACGAGCCATTTAGACTCTTGGTCGCTAAAACTAATTCCTTCCATTGTTCTCTATTGTATGCTTGTTCCCAGTCTCCTCCAATACTTCCTTGACGCTATCCTTCCATCTTTTCCGTGGTCTTCTTCCCTTTGGCTTCTTTCTTCATATCGTATATATCAATGCTCCTTTAAATACACTTCCATCGGCTCGCCACACATGGCCTGCCCATTCTACCCTTGTCCTTTGTCCTTGTAAATTGTACCACATATTTTCTTTTTTAAAGTTGGTATAGTTGGGTGTTGGTTCTTATTTCCCATTTCTGTTCCACATTGTTGAATACGGATCCGTACAATTTTTTAAGAATTTTTCTCTCGAATATACGTAGTTTTTCATCATCGCCTTTTGTCGTTACCCATGTGGCACATACATATGTCAATATAGAGCGGATGTAACTTAGGTATAGATGTTCTTTTGTTTTTCTTGACAACAGCTTAGATTTAAAGAGGGTCCTTAGTACATAAAAGCATCGGTTAGCAGCGTCCAATGTGATATTTATCTCTCTATGTATGTTTTTTTGGTTATTTAGAGTAGACCCCAGGTACTTAAGGTACTTATTATACACTAATAAAATATATTAATTAAAATTGATCATTGCAACTCGGAATGGATACATACAAAATAGATATTAATTAAATAAAGATATACATACATTTTGATATATAAATAAATACATTTCAGTCCTAAGAATCAATGAAAATTTAATTTTCAAAATATAATTATTTTATATTATATGAACTATTCATGATTTATTAATTTATTGGCTTAATTTATTCATTAATTTACAGTTGGAATTGGTTTTTGGATTATAGCATTTTAGTGATATTTTTCAAAGTATTTTTTCATTTATTCGGCTGTTTGGTATTTAGTTATTTTCACTGGAATTCTTGTATTCTTATACGTATACTTTCGATGTTTTGTCCTCGACGAACTTCTGAAGAGGATCAAGGTAAATTAAATTTACTAAAAATATAAAATCTCATCAATATTTTCATTAAGTTAGAAACATGCGGTACATTGGAACACGAAATAGGATTATTTGAGAATGTGTTTTTATTTGCGATGATATTGTTCCAAAAGCGGTTTTTTCAAAGTGGACACTTTGGTAGACTTATTGAAGACACAAAAGCTGTGTCTTTGTTAGCCAATCAATTGTATAAACTAATCAACGAATGGGAGCTTCATAAAAAAGACGAAAGACATAAAGTTGATTTAGATTCATTGGAAAAAATAAAAATTAAATTAAATAAAATTCGAGAATCAAAAGAGCGACACGTCTCAAGACAATTACGCCATTCCGAAGGTTTAATTGCATAAATAATTTTTAATATTTAACATTAATATATTATTTAATGGTATGGATATGTTTTAGCTTGTTTGGATGGTGAATACATGTTTGAAAAAGTATATGATGATGTATACTTTGTAGAAAAATATGACACTGAAAACTTTAATAATGATGATGAAGCAGTAACAATAAATAATCCATGGATTTATCGACCATTTGTTTATTTCATTCTTTATGTGACGGAAAAAATTAACATATTTTCTAAAAAACACAGACATATTATGCATGTATTAAACATAGAGAAAAAAAAATTAATATTGGTAAGTTTTATAGAAATAAAAAATTATTTATTAAAAAGTTAGGCTTGAAACTCTTCTAGAGTGTTGTATGTGCACTTGATTAAGATTATGCCCTTGTTTCTTTATATGAATGATAAACTGATAATGTTCATTTTTTTTATTATTTATTATTTATTAATAGAGACAGAAAAAATTTCAACGAGAACATAACGTGGGATCTTTAAACTTGTGGAATCCAAATGATAACGCTTTCCACTTAAACAAGTAAAATAATAATTATAATAATTATATAATAATAAATAATTTCGTTCTTAGAATCAAGTAATATTTACAATAACATAAATATTTTATAACATTTTACTGTTCCAATAAATTATATACCAACCTCTTATCTAAGCTATTTATTCAAAACAAAGTATAAATATAGAGTTAATGTTCACGAATACACTATTTAACTAGTTTATAAGTCAGCGTTTCTCAACCGGTGTGTCGTCGAGTAAGTCCAAATGTGTCGCGTGAAGCACTAATATTAAATGACACAAAATATACAAACATAATTGACACTTATTACAAAAATTGAAAGGTATTAGATATAATTTCTATGATGAATAAAAATAGATTATAAGCTATTGACATTAAATCAATTTTATCATTATCGTAATTCTAATTGATAAACGTTGGCTTTGAGATTCTAAAAAACTACAATCAAATCAATTTGTAAAATCATTGAACATTTTAGCACAAGAAGTGCTTACCGAGTAATAATAATAATAATAATAATAATACTAAGTATTAATTGATAACTTTTCAATGCTGGAAATTTAAAAGGTTTGATTGGGTGAGGAATCCATTTAGTCCTAGTTTAAAAACGTCACATATTTTATTAAAAGAGAAAGAAGAACTTGCAGAGTTAATAAACGATCGCACTGTTCAAATGAAGTTTAATGAGCTCGGGCTAGGCAAATTTTGGATTTACATAAAAAAAGAATATCCGAGTTTAACAAAATAGGCACTTTCCGTGTTATTACCATTTTCAATGTCATATTTGTGCAAGATAGCTTTTTTTGCATTGAACGAAATTAAAAAAAAAAAAAAAGGGAAATATTAATTAATGTTAAAGAAGAGTTAAGAGTAGCCTTGTCGAAGATTTTACCACGTATTGATACATTATGTAAGAAATATCAGTCACAAATTCCTCATTAAAATGCGGTTTTATGTTATATTTATCTTTGTTATTTTTAAGTATACATTATCAATTAATTATAAATATTTAATATTACTCATGATTCCTATTTTTATTACTGCGTGTCACAAAGTATAAAATATTTTAATAGTGTGTCGCCATAATACAAAGGTTGAGAAACTGCTTTAAGTTACTGTTAATTAAATTAATAAGTATACACATTAATTTTTGTTAACTCTATAAAATTAAATTCACTTGAACCAGATAATATTTAGAATTTTGTCCAAAAAATATATTTCATTTAGATAAATATAAATTATATTAAACTAATATATTATAAATAATAAGAATTCAACTTGAAAACGTTTAATAAAATTTTTGCATGTAGCAGGAGAGATTACAGAGACACAAGCAAAAATAATCACTGTTTACTACAATTAATGTTGGCAATAGTACATGCAATACAATCATCTACACACCTATTGTGTTATTTTGCTATATTTTATAATGCAGTTTATAACTATTGTGACATAATATCAATAACTCCAATCATAATGGTAATATTTTGGGGACAATTATCAGTACCCAGGCCAACAAAAACATTTTGGATTGTATTAATTACATATATACAAGTAAATTAAGTAAAATAATATGTTATAAGCATAGGCTACATTATTTTGTCTACTAGATCACAGGTTTGATAAAGTACATCTATTCTTTTAAAGAAATTCCATGGTTAGGAGAAGAAACAAAACTGCAGCATCTAAATACAGAAGATTTTTATTCATATCCCACCATAAAAATAGGAATTGGAAATTATCATAATAAAATACTAACAGACCTAACGGTTCTGTTGATCTTATTCATACACAGGTTAGGTTAGGTAAATGTATATATATATAATTAACTTGAGACCAGTATAATATTAACATTTGCATGCTTATACTGATTATAAATAAAAAAAATTAATTTACTTTAATCATTACTTTAATATTTATTTTATTATGTAAATAATTAGACAATAAAACAATAAAACAATAATTTTATGCACATTTTTAAATGCATACAAGTACATATTTTGAAGATTTTTATGCAGATTTAGGCATTTCATACTGCATAATTGCATCATATGTAGCACCTTTTTACAGCATATAATTTTGGTCTTTAATAATATAAATTTGCAATGTTAATATGTAGGCGGTCACTAATAAGATTAGGCCTTTGGACATATAATGATAACAATAAAAAATGGATTAAAGATAGAAAAACATCACAAAATGAAACTGAAACAAATACATTTTTGAGAAAGATGATTTTAAAGTAAGTAGTTATAGTTAAATGATATTCATTATGGTTGTATTTTGAATTGTATTTTTTTTTAATCAACTTTAGTGTTGAAACTCATTTTTCATCTATAACTGAATTTTTTAAAGACCTTCGACAGTATCAAACAAAAGGATCAGTAAATATGTATCCAACTATGCTTATATTAATAGTCTTTCAAATACCTTGTAGTTTATTAAATGCACGTGTAAGTAAACATTGCTTTGAATACCTACACGTACTATAAAATATTGTTATTCAGATTTTGTTATGCTTTTAAAGGAATATTAAATATTTACTACAGTTACTTCTTAAAATATAATAGCAATTAACATAAAATAATTACCAGTACATAACTCAATAATAATAATTATTTTTTATATATTAATTACTCAGAGAGCTACTGAATCATTTGCATTAAATCGAGTATCCAAAATACTTTTACAAACATTTTCAACTTACATAATAACAATCATAATGGATCGTTGGTTTTACATCAGGCGTTTTGTTCTAGGAAAATTAATTTTTCACTTGATTTTTGTAACTGTATTTATTTTGCAATTAATGACAATGTAAGTATTAAATAAATAATATTACTCTAGGTACTAACTCTACAGTTCAATATCATAGTCAATAATCTAGTAATTTAATTGACTGCCTAAGAAGTTTTATCTGAAAGTTTTTGTTTGATACCAGGGAAAATAAAGGAATCTTAAATCAACTATGGGCATACAACCTATACATATATATTGTAGTATCAGCCAGTCAAATAAGAAATGGTTACGCATGTCACAATGCAAATTCATTTATTTGGTCACAATACACAATATTAAATTTATTAGGATATAAACTGTAAATATTATATTTATGGATATTTCAATGTAAACAAAGTATGTAAATACCATAATATTTTAATAGGTATTATTATTGTCCATTTTTGCATGAATTTCGAACCGTAATGGATTGGATGTGGACTGATTCATCTTTAACAATTATGGAATGGTTTAAAATGGATGAACTGTTTGCCCATGTCTGTTGTGTAAAGGTAAAATACAACAGTATTTATTGACATTAAGTATTACTTTATTTTTCAAAATAAACTGCAGCAGCATCCAAACAATAGTTTTAAGATTCTATTATAACAATGATGTATTATACCTTAGACTATTATTATCTAAATTAGAATCAGTGAAAGCTGTGACATACTGTAAATATTTTTTAGTGCATTTGTAATTTTCGCAAAAAGTTTGATACTGAACGAGGAGAAAAATTATTGAGGACATTCAAATTATTAATTGGCGGCGGAATCATAATAACAATAATAGCAATAATAATCTTTCCAATTGCATGGTTTTCCATGTCCGTAAGTTTACCAGATACACCATCATCAATAGAATTAATTATTAAATTCGGAGAAGATTCAACTGTATTTAACACCAAATCAGATGATGTACAAAGGTTAATTTTTAAAACTTTTATTCTTAACCATAATTTGATTAACTAATGTATGAAATTCAAAGTCAATGTTATATTCTAAAATTGATTAATCAAAATACAATTTTGTTTTATTGAGAAATCATTGAATTTTAAAGTTTATACACATATATATTTGTACACATTATAAATTTATATATATCTAGTAAATAATAAAATAAATTACGTAAAAAAATACAATGCTCTACTTCAATTAAGCCTATTTTATGTAGTATGTTATAAACAATTTTAAATACATTACATTTTTTCCCTTTTAGGTTAGATAGTACAGACTTTAGACTGATGAAAGAATTATACATGAACTCACCAAGTAATAATAAAGCATCCATCATGGAATTTCTACAACAATACGAATTTGATGAACTAAGCTCAATTAATGTAATACCACAGTCAATTAATACATGGCCCATTTCACCTTATGAATTCAATAAGCTTAAAACAATTATTGATACAAGTATGATAGCCAAATTTTATAGTCATAAACATATTTTGGAACAATATGCTTCATACTTAAATTATATATTACAATAAAACTTTTTTTTATTTATCAACAAGTACTAATTCAAGTGAACACTAAAATATATCACAAGCTTACTTTGTTTTGTGAATAGGTTCCAGTATAAAAGTTTCAGCAGAATGGTTATTAACACATCACAATGGTATGAAAATTAGTAAAGGCAAAAATATTGTGATGATGGATAAATATAAACATTCTGAACTGAACAAATGTTTAAATGTATTAAAAACCAATATAACTGAGATACCTGGCAAATGTAAACAACTAGTAGTAAACAACTTAATACCAAAATTTTTAGCACTTCATTTAAAAACTTCAGAGGCAGAAGTGAAATCAGAATTAATAATACACAATCAAGGTAAATATATATTATAAAGCATTCATTTTATTTACATACCTAAAATAAATTTGAATATAGCAAGTAGTTACACATATAATATGTGTTGTGTGTACAATATAGATTAAAAATAATCTTACTTTCCACAGTGAATTGAAGATATAAATGAATTTTAATAACTACTGTAAAATTTATGAAGTTAAATTTCATTGACGTCTGAGATAGGCAAATAACTCAATTAAGAAAGTCTTAAAAAAATTAAAAAAAATATATATATAAATATTTTTACATTGAAATACTTAAAAGAAAATGTATTATCAAATTATCCTAAGTTTTGGTTTGCTAACTAAAACTGTAAATTTTAAATTATTCCTCCTCCCACCAGCCAACGTGTTAATCCAAATAGCAATATAACAAACACTGTGCAATTATGTTTGTAATAAATAAAAGCACTTCAATATAAAATAATTAATTTGGGGCTATTTTTCTTGAAATAAGCTTGCGTATTTCATACACTCAGCTAATTAAAAATGAAATTTTTCATTAGGATATAATATGTTATAGATAATCCATACATGGACATAGGTCTAACATTCAATTATGACTCAACTAAATTTACTTACTGGTGGGGCATGATAGAACTATGCCCAAGTGATGTAAGTTCAATATATTTAAAAAAAATGCCATATTCTTCTTGCACCGATAATGAAAATAAATCAACATCTGATACCAATATCATGTACAATATATATGTGTTCAGTGATAGATATTCAAGCACATTACAATATTTAGATGATAAAGGGTAATATTTTAACCATATAGCAAATAAATAATGTAAATTTATAAGCTTAATTTAATCCAAATTGACTAATGTCTGGATATACTTATTTCAAAAATTAATAAATTACAGAATAATTGGCTTATATACAATCATAGTAGTTTACTTTGGATATAAACTGGCGTTTGACATATTTAGATCTTTTAAGTTCAAGTTGGGCTACACTGAAACACCTTATCCAGATCGTATACTACAAGTAAAAAGAAAGTTTATAAACTAATCGAATCAAACAATTTAATTTATTTATTTATTATTTATTTAGTAATCAATCAAAATGTTTTATTAATTAATTATGATTTTATTAGCTATGTTATGAAATTTACTTGGTGAGATCTTTTGAAGAATATGAAATGGAAGAAGATTTATATGCAATGTTAATATTTTTGTTTCGTTCACCAGAAACTTTAATTCGTTACACAAGGAAACCTAATAATATGATTCTTGAATAAAAATGTATCACTTTTATATGTATTATTTGTAAATAATAAAAATACTTTATTATTTACCATTTTTAGAGTATGTTTATTATGATAAAAGTATTTTAAACTATATATATGTTTAGTTATACATGTACTATTCAGGTTTGACTCTACTATCTACATCAAGGTAAGCGTAACATTACTCAATATGTGTAAATAAACAAATAGAAACCAAACCAAAAAAAAAAAAAAAAAAAGAGGCTCTCCTAGAAGCTCACCTGATGTATTAAATTACAACCACTTATGTTCAAATGCATTAGTGCCTCCAAGACAAAATTTGGATTAATCTAATGATTAATATTCAATCAAGGCAAGTAGTTCTAGTGATGAAAATAAACTATTATGATGAATCTGATAATTGAGTTGATCACTATAAAACTATTTTTGATTTTAAATTCTAAATCATCTGAAATTAAAATTAATATACTAGAATCTGTAAGACATTTCCATTGAAATATTTTATTAAATTTGAATGATTGATATAAATTAAATTATAATAAGGTTTAAAAATAATTATGGTAAAAATATTTTACTAAAATAAAATGGCCTCATAATATAAACAATCTAGAACAGTGTTTTTCAAAAATACTAATAAAGATGAAATCAATAAATTGTTTGGTTTATGTTTACTTTTTAGTTTAGCCAAATTTTCTGTGTTGCGAGATGCATTCTCAATGGTATTATTACCCAATTTCTAAGAAAATTATATCAGGAAGGTGATTTGAGTAGCTCCTGAATAGTTTCAATGCAGAACATTCAGAAAAAGAAGCCACATATAAATGTCTAATTAATTAGTTAAAATAGACGATAAATATGGTTATTAAAAGTATTTTCTAATTAAGATACAGAAGCTTTTGTATTAAAAAAAAAAATGTACTATACTCTTTTTCACGAGAGAACAGGACCGTTTTGCGCATGTGGAATGAGCTTCGACCGGCTTACCCGACTGTGTAATTCCCTCCACGCAGTCGCTCATTACCAACATTTACCGACTTGTTTGTCGGGCGCCAGCATATCTATGTAGTGCACATACTGATTATTATCTTATTGATAATTGAACTGAGCCTCATACTAATTTTGTGGTTTTTGGTGGGGGATGCGTGGTGGCGACCCGTTTACATTCACATTCTCTCGTGAAAAAGAGTATAGTAAGACCTTTGCAAATTTATTATGCATATGGATAAGATCAGTGGTATAATGAAGGAATTTTTATGATGCCTAGCAAGTTAACTGCCTTGAGTATCATATTTGATACACGAATAACTCGTTGATTTTCTCTCATACATTTTAATTGAATTTGCCACATCTGTCTAGAGTATCACATATACTTCTTACTTATCTGACAAATCTCAATCAATGGGATTATTGCAATCTTGGTTCTTAGAAAATATCAATATTTTTCTTCACGCGATTTTTAATTCCATAATAATAAATCAATTTTGATAAAAAAAAAAAAAAAATTTAAATTGGGTATCACATATAACACTCAGGCTCCAGTACAATATTCTTATAAAAACTGTTGATGTTTTAATTATTATATAATGTTTTTTTGATATTTTGTTTTTGTCAAAACTTATTTTTGATGTGTTTTATTTTACTAAGTTACAACGAATAAAAATTACATTTTGGAAGTTTTGGATCTGTCAGATTGTTCTGAAGATAGTTCAATTGATGATATAATTGATGAAGATGTCATATCCAAGGTAAACAACTTTAAACATCTATAAATGTTCAAAAATAATATTATAATTTTGTATATTATGTCCTACTGTCAAATGGAAGTAAAAAAAAATAAACAAATACAATACTAAAAATGTAATTTATACCTAATGTATAATACAAATAATTTTACTTAGTTATTTTTTTTTACAGAATGATACCACAGAATATAACAATGATAATACTAACTGTTTGCAATTGGCATCTAGTGAATTTAGTGACAAGCAAAATATACATGAAGAATTTTCAGTACCAGTATGGGGAGATATTCAGAACGAGTTCAATTCAAGTATAAAATTTAGTCCTCACAATTAACCTATTGGTATCAACCCTTATATAATTAATACGTTAACTGAAGGTTGTCTATTTGATTTTTATAAATTATTTTATAAACATTTCTTGGGATTGTATTGTAGATAGGGCTAAGTCAACTACCAACCATAGCTTCATACTACAGAAAATATATATTATATGCTATTAAGTCATTAAGAAAAAGTAGTTTATGTAATGTTATTTTAATTTACATGCTATTAGTTATTTATTTTATATTAATATTATTATTATATTTATAAAGGTGAGTTTAATTTAGGTTACATTGTTATTATATTTACAAAGTTGTTATATATTTTTTTATACAAAATATAACACTTGATTTTTCAAATAACATTTAAAGAATACTAAGGAAGTATATTTTATGTTAAATTATTATTATATTTACAATTTTATTTTTTTTTTTTTATATATATAAAATATAATATAACACTTGTTTTTCCAAATAATATTTAAAGAAAACTAAGAAAATGTTTCTTAATTTTCTAATAATAATGTATGTTTTATGTTATATTATTATTATGTTTACAATATTGTTATATATTTTTTTTATTTATTTAAATATAACACTTATCATAAATTTATAATAGATTATACATTTTGTTTAAGTTATAAAAAAATCCCGAATAAAAAAAAAACATTACAAAATGTAATTTGCTCTTTAATATGCAGAATTATTTTGAATTCGGATGGTTAGTTTACAAAGTTGTAACATGAATTTTTAAAGTTTTTATAAGTCATATTTATATAATTAGAGTAAAAATAACATTTTCAGACTGCCCAAAAAACCAATTTGTAGCAAAGTTTATGAATTTTTTGATGCACAAATTGAGTATCACTGATGATACTCAGTTGACATTTCATGCATTAAATGTGTGCATATATGTTACTGAAGGCAAGGATGGCAAATATTGGTGAGAAGCATATTTGATACTCAAAGAATTTGCTAGACGTCGGGGTGAAAATTCTAGTAACATTCTATGGGTAGATGGATGTGTAGTTGTATTTAGATATATAACAATTTTGTATGAATACATTGTAGCAAATTTCAAAACTTAAACAAATCATCAACTCAAAACACAAATGTATTGGAATACACAATAGTGGATAAGATATAACATGACAATAAGATCAACATTCTGTATTATTAGCTAGTTATAACATGAGAGAAAAGCCTATTAAAATTTACTCATTTTAAGTTAGTAAAACATAAGTAAATAGGTACTTCAATATTTAATAGTTATCTTCAATAAGTTTTTAAAAACATTTCAAGGATGGTATGCTAGAGAAAGAAATAGGTGGATAGATACTGAAATATATGTTGTACATTATAGTTTATAAATATTCACTATGCCACTGAATAAGATATTAAAAATACTATAATAATTGATTAATCTAAAAAAATCTAAAAAAACGAATTATTAAAACAAAGAATAATTACCATTATAGTTGTACTATCACTTTAATGACAAGTGGATGTTGTAGACTAATATTATACACCTGAATGATCATTGAAAGGCTGCAAATCAAATACTCTTGCTATAGCCAAATATATCATGCCTATAAAATTAAATTTTTGTTAATTAATGAGCACAATGAATTTCAAAGTAAATTGGAATGTACAGAACATAGTGCATAATGGGAATATGCTTGCATACATATGTATACTCAACTATACAAATATACATTGCATCTATACCACACAAATGCATTCTTAAACTACTTTTACTATGAATTTTGTTTAACACTGTATAAATTATTTTATCATAATTTCCAATTATTAATTTAGACATTAAAGATGTTAGGAATGAATAGAAAAGTAATGGTTTCTTATACATCCATATAAGAAAAAAAAAAAAAAGCTTGGAATGAAATATCCATATATTAACTTTGTAAAAAATGTTTAAAATATTATTTTTCAAAGCAGTAATTATATACAACAAAACAAAATACTATTATCCACAGTTACAAATTAGTTGAGTACCAGACTCGGTCTTAAACAGACACCTAATTTTGCCTAAATAATATTACCTAAAAACACGAATACTTACGTAGATTAAATAAAAATAAAATATTCTGTATCTGGTATGGATATGGATACTATATATACAATATTTAACTTACATAAATTAATACCAGACTGAAGTATTTGAAATATGTCCAATGAATTATTGTAGCAGAGTGCATAATGAGAAAACGTTATTTGGATATTAAATAATCACTAGGCTTAGGGACTTATAGCACTAGAAAATACACAAATATGCTTCTAAAATTATTAAAATATGCATTTATATGCATAAAAAAAAAAAAAATGACCACATAGTACGCAAAATAAAACATGTCCAATGGATATAAATGTATCTTTAAACTCCGAAACAACACTTTATAGTCAGCTACTCGTAGACTATTATACCATTCGGCATTACACAATATTACAAAATATACGCGTACAATGTTTTACGTATGATTCGACGTTGTGGGGTTGCGAGACGCAAAAACAATGATGGATAATAATCGACTGAACTGAACACTAAACAAATAATCAATCATTCTATATCAACTATTATCTTTATCGAAATCCGGTCAATATCCAGTGGGTTATATGGTTGATACAGGTTTATTATTATACAGTATTATTTATACTTGCACAAAAATTATAATGAAATATGAGAGGTAATTTATAGATAGCATATTACTGGAAACATTAAGTCCTCTTAATACATTTCTTTTTCGATTGATTGAAATATGTATTTATAGTATATTTATGTACCTAGTTTTATATTTTAAATTATAAAATTTGAAAATTTTTTCAACATATACAAAATAAGCATAAAAATTTTATGCATTCTCCTGCAAAATTTATCAAATATGCACTTTCAAATTATAGATCTATTATCATGGCACCGAGAAACTAATTTATTTCGCACTCTGCTATATTTAACAATAATTAAAATAAGTATGCAAATGCTAGAAATCCCTAAGCCATTAGGCTTGTGATCATTAGATCACTAACATGATTGTTAGTTAAGATGATCTACTTAAGTACAATTATACAAAAACAAGGGCGTATTTGAGGAGGGACGAAGGGGGCATTCGCCTCCCCCTCATGGCTAGTATTTTTTTTTAATATAATACCTACATTAATTTATTTAAAAATGTAATATATAAATAATAAAAAATATAAATTACTAATCTATCATTAAATGTTATCATTATAACATTATAACTGTAAATTATTTTTAAGTTTTTATTGAAAAAAAATTAGTTTCTCTCCCCCTTCCCCCATGGCTTCAACGCAAATACGCCCTTGTACAATAATGGTCGCTGGAGCGGGCTTACTTGGAGTGCCGACGTAGTACACCGGTTTCACGTGTTTGCAACAACTGAAGAAAAACGCGCTGACCAGTGCGAAAGTCACACTACCGATAATCCGGCACGATAAGCATCCACTGCTGTTCCTCTGGACGCTGCCGGCGTCCGTCATGACGGTGTCTGAATCGAGCGGTTCGTTGACGGCGAGGGGACAATATTGGAAATACGTGACAAAAATAATTTGGCAAGGTTTTAAACGTACCGATAAAATAATTAAACTGGGATATCAGACATCGTGAAAAATCGAACAGAGATCCGTTGGCGGTTTACATGAATTCGATATGATACGAAACAAGTCCGTGCGTCCGTCAGTGTATGCGTTTTAAAACGAACGCGGTGGAGTGCGGTATTCAAAATGGACGGACGACGAGAAACATACACAAAACCGAGAAAAGGAATTTGGCTTTGCTCAACAGTTGCGATCTCAGCGCATGGTGGTGACATTCGGCGCGGATAGCCGATTGGACTAGTGATAGGCACAATAGAAGTTTGTAATATCGAATAGAATTCGATAGTTGTTACAAACAATCGAATTATTGACACGACCTGGTATTTTCTTATGAAAAATGAATCTAATAAAATTATCGAATATTTTTTCATTCGAATGGAACTATCCAATACTTTTTCATTATATTGAAATTACTATATAGTCTTGATTGTTATTTTATTCAAATTTCAAATACCTAAAGTAGCATAAACATTACCGGCATTTTTATTAACGAAGATTAATTTACGAAGAACCTTTATTGAATGTTCAATGTTTTTTTATCGAAAAATTTCAAGTGTTTTAAAAAAAGTTATAACAAAAGACTTCTCATTAAGTTCACAATAGTCATCAAACTACAGAATAATTCGGTATTAACTAGACTATGGAAAAATTCTATCATACCAAATTATCGAATAATTCGATAGTGCTCATTACTAGATTGGACCCAATCGGGGGTGGTGACACAAAAAACCAAATCTATCGAACAACGTGATTTTATGTTAATCATTCTGTAGATTTATTAAGTTTTTTTCCAAAAAATGACCTCACACTCATTGCTAGATTACGCGGTAATATGTCGATATTATTATTAAACGTTTGAGAATATTCCAAAGACGCACTGAAACGAGCTTGTTGATATCGGTTAGTAACTGATAAGACGTGAAGACACGTAATATTATCTTAAAAACAGAATAAATATTTATTTTAAAACGATAATTGTCTATAGGTTAATATGTAACGACCGTCCATTGTAGTACGTTATCGTTCGTTAATCATAGTCTAATGTCTATTTTTTATATCTTGTTTTGCATCGTATTGTATATTGTATTTATTATTTTTGTAATCAACTATCAGATTTAATTATGGTTGAATACACTAACTGGAAATTATTACAATAATCAATGGAGCGTGATTCCCTTCAAATTATTAACCCATTATAAATTATTGTTCTACAATTCCGTCCGTGAACGCATTTGTTGTTCGTGAACACGGTTGTAGCAAGCTGCGTTCAATACGAAAAATGAACAATTATAGCGTGCATCACTTCCTATCTGTTCATCTCGACGTACCGTTTTTCCGAATTTTTGTATGTTTGAACAAGATTGACATTAAATTCGACTTCATTTCCGATTGACACTGTAATTCCATGGATAGCTTAAACACTTACAGAAAGATAGAAAGACTATCTTCAAGAATGGATGTCAAGGCTAGTGTTTTTAATGATGCAAAAAGTAATAAAATATACTTTATAGAATTTAACTTTAAGACTTTATTAAAATTTACAAAAAATGTGCTATATGTCCAAAACTGTATAACATATAATTACTCTTACACTTCTAGTACTAGTCTCTCTGTATGCTAACCATTACCTATATATATACCGAAACTTTACATTTGTGTTAACAATGAATAAAGTGATGTATATTAATAACTTATATCTTAGGGCGTGTAAATTACAATTATTATCATGTTACAATATTATGGTTTATTGTGCCATATTGATACATTGGAAGTTTGCGCAAATACGATAGGTCAAAGGATAGTTTTACATTTAACATGCGTAAACATTTTCTTATTTAAATATTTTATGTTATAAATGCATTATATAATATTGTTTATGCATGGTACATTATAACAACTTGATTTTTCATTAAAAGGAAAAAATCTTGCATCTAACCAGGATAGGAGAATAATGAGATCTGACTATTGGCATACAATAATAAATTACCTTTGACTCGTTAATAAATTTGTTTTAATAATTTCTATTAATCATTGGTAACACATAAAACGTTAATTATAAATTACTGTAAGAATACCAATCTCATTGCTTACAATATAGTAAATAGAGAATATAACTTTCATTATTACTATTATTATCTTACTTTACACCAGTCGTCGAAACTCTGGTTTATATGATTCGGAAATAGTCAATCCAAATTGATAGTATAAATATAGATATGTATTTGTGTATGTCACAAAAATGTCGCCTAATGGATAGTATTTTGAAAAACTGGGCGAAAAGCAATCAACTTTTAAAATAAGACATTTTTTCAAATTATGTAAAAAAAATAATTAGGTAATGTGCCTATGATAGATAAAATTTATAAATAATACAATATATTATCGTATTATTGATATTTAATTTTTCTACCAGTATTAAGATCTATTTTTAATAACGATGCAAAGTAAACGTTAAATATTTTTATAATGAGTATGTTAAAATTTACAAGTCAATATTAACTAGTGATACTGAAACTGTAGAATAGTTTCCAAAAATATTTGTTTAAAAATTTTCAAAAGATTTTCTAAAAAGATTCTAAAACGATAAATAATAAACAAACATAACCACTGTAATGCAGATAAGTAATTTTTATTATTCTAACAATTTGGTATGCCAGTCATCAAGGCAACTACTACTTCATTATTAACACAATACAATATTTTTATTAATATATTGTTATAAACTTACAGTTAATTTTTACTAAGCAACAACTAGGTATATATTGTATTTTATATAATAGTGAAGTAGTAGTAAGAGCATGTCTAATAGTGCTCACAACTACAACAGGAACGTAAAAACGTAAAATTATATTTTTAATGTATTTTTATTATAATTCATGAAAAGAAACTTCGTAAAAAAAATTACTTTTTAATATCAAACAGTTGTACTTAATATAATTCAATAAACATTAAAATAATAAAAATATAAGGCCATTCCCAGGTCGGGTGAGATACAGGCAATGGTAAGTGAAATTGCTGTATTGGTCTTTTAACCAGGCGCGGATCCAGAGTAATTATTATGGGGGGACATTTTATATTGTGGACATAAAATATAATAAATAAAATTCAATAATTCTATAACAGCTAACAAAGTGTCAGTCTCACTAATGCTCGATTTTAAAGTTTCTAATTTTCTGTTTGTAAAATTCCAATCTCTTTTGAGTGGACTTTTAAACACTTTTTTTACTAACTATACTATTAGTATTAATATTAGCAGAATTACTTGGAACATGTTTTGTTCAATTTTATTTTACTTCATTATTACTGACTTGTACTTGAAAACGTTAATTTAACTCATTCATAATATAATTTTTACGATCAATATTTTCAATATCATTACTATTATTTTCATTTGATGTTTCCTGAAAAATATTTTTTATTTTAGGTATCGAGTACCTACAAAAAAATTGTGGGATGAAATTGAACAAGGCTTTCAAAACAGATGGAATTTTCTTAGATGTATCAGAGCAATGGATGGGAAACACATACCTACTCATTAAAACACCACCTAAAATTGGATCATAGTTCTACAACTATAAGGTATACAACTATACTATAACTATAGTATAGTGTTATATTATTAGCAATAATTGATCACAGTTACTGTTCTACGTATATTAATGTTGGTGTAAAGAAAAGGCATCAGATGGTGGTTTACAAGAGAGCTATTTTTTTGAAACATTGGAAACAATACACTTACCTGAATAATACCCTAAAAATTTTGTTATTGTAGCTGATGATGCTTTCCCACTCAAGACAAATCTAATTAAACCATATAAAAGAAGAAACTTAACAAAGGAACAAGCAATTTTCAATTATTGATTGTCCAGAGCTTTAGATTTTATAAAATGCTTTTGTAATACTTGTGAGTAAATTCAGAATATTTGAAAAGCCAATCCCCTCTATAGCTGATAAAGTAAAGAAAATTGTTCTCACATGTTGTGCAATACATAACTGGTTACAAAATACAAGTCAAATCTGTTTATTACCAGGTCTCATTGATTATGAAGATTAATGAAATCATAAACAAAACTTGAAGACAAAACCAAAGTTGTTTGACGATCTTATGCCAACAAATAAAAGAAATGCCTCTTATTCTTGTTAAACATTATACTTATATTGTGGTACATTATACATCGTATATAATATAATTTTTTTAATTAATTTGAGACAAATTGCGTCACAAATTCTTATTTATTTATAACAGCATATTTTTTGATCATTAAAGCTATCGAACCGTATACATTATATAAAACTCAACGGGTTATTGAGGTCAAATGCTGTATAGGTTTATCGAATCGTATACATACTTTATATTATGTATAATATAAAGTATATCCTTAATATTTAATCATTCTGTGATATATAATACTCATATATTAATTACATATGTGTGTGTGTGTGTGTGTGTGTGTGTGTTGATATTAAAAAAAAATATTTCAATATTTCAACTATCAAATATTTCCAATTTTTTTTCACATAGTGGTTCCAAATACTTTCCTTAGTGTCACCACGTCACCCAATATTTCATGTTTTTTTTGTCGAAGGGGAATAAGAGGGGCATGAGCGTCCTTAGAAATTTTTTTAGGGGAGGGCAAATTAATTTTATACTTACATTGTATTTATAGAACATTATTATGTCTCGTCATTATTACAATTGGTATTATTATTATTCATTTTATTTAAACATTATTCTTTGTCTTTAAATATAATAATATAGATTACAGATAATACTTTGGAAAACAAATTTAAAATTCTAAGGGAGGGGGGGGGCAAGTGCCCTGGCTTTCTACCCTCCTGGAAACGCCCATGTAGAGGGGGTTGTATTTTTATGTTCCAATATTGTGACGACATTTACATTTTTCCAAATTTTTTTTACAGAATTGTTTCAAATACATTCTCGATTGTTACCATGTCACTCAATTAATATTTTTTTTTGTTTTAAGGGGAGGGATAGGAGGAATTGTATTTAAATATTACTGTTTTTTAGCGTACCATTTAAATAATTTAATGGTTTTTTGCACAAGGTTGTACCAAATACTCCTACAAGTGATCTATTATTCACAATTTAATTGTATTTCTCATTTCAGTTATAATCGTGATGGATTACTTTTCTATTGATACAGTAGTTGATAGTGAAGAATCAATATATTTTCCTTCATAGCTTTTAAATTCATAAATATTCTGGTGTGTCTCCTCATAAAATATCACTAAAGGTGAGAGTTCCAATCATATGAGAAATTTGAATTCTCCTAAGTTATGTTATAGGTTAACAGGCTCCGGGTCACCTCTTTTACAAAAAATGTAATTAATTAATAATTGAAGCTGATATCTTGATTGAATGTTCTAAGAGAAAAAAAATATTTTTACTGAAATTACTATTATACTACAGTGATTTTCTAGTTTAGTTAAGAAAAGTTCGATTTCCAATAAAAGTTTGTTTTATATACAATAAACAATGCGCAACGATGGACTTTAACTTATTGTGTAATAGCTATGAAAAATAACTATTTCTCACATGAACAATTGTATGTAGCATTTTCTAAAGTTGAAAGATCTGACCATTTATATGTTAATACACGTACATAAAATAAACTCTGAATGTGGTACACCAAGAGGTTTTGACTTAAACTAAAATAATTTATTTTAGAAATTAGTAACTCACCATAGAATAATTTGTAAATATTCATAAATAAAGTTAAATTATACAAATTATAACTATAATTATAGGATCATCAGAATAATTTAAAACTATTATTATTATTTTTTATTCATAATTTAGCTAAAATTACTATTTAGCACTTGATCAAATTAATTAAATTAAAACAATTAAGAATTTAATTTAAAGAAAGAAAAAACTACATACGGGCGAAGCCGGGTAATTCAGCTAGTAGTATTCTATAAAATAAAAATAAATAAATAAATAAGTATACTATAAAATAACGAAGAAAAATATTAAAACAAATGATTCAATTTTCATCGTTTTGGTTGAAAAATTTAATTTTTAATTATTTTATCTAAAGAATACCAGCATAAATAGTTTGATAACAAATCACCAAATTGCCGGTAAACAGTTATGTTATCCGGTGTTTATTTACAAAATGTTTGGCAAACATGTTTCGACAGAAGACTTATCACTCGAACGTATTTTATTCAATTATTCAAAATTTAGTGCTTCACGATAAATGAACTACAAGTTGGAGAATTTTGAAGTCTTATTTTCTTTCCTGCATTTAGGAATTGTGCCTAAATATAAACAGTGTTGGGACTTATCTAGATAAATTTATCTAGATAGATTTGTTGTCATCTTTTATCTTATATAGATAAATAACGCTAAGGTATCTAATTACTTATCTATGATAAAATGTTTACTTATCTAGATAATTGTCTGTATTCTTGCCAAGATTAAAGTTATTTTTTTTGTATGGAGACGAATCCAACAAATCAGAGATCTTCAAAATCGGTCCAGCCGTTCTTGAATTATAAATTCTGTAAGTAACCTGACTTTCTTTTATTCATATAGATTTTGTATTCATAATCATAATTCGTGTATTATTAATAAGTAATTATTACTTCTTGGTATGACATTTTGTTTGTATATTCATGTTGGGAAAATATTTTTGGTAGGTATTTTTAAATTTAATTTCTTATTCGTCTATGGAAGTTCCAAATATAATAGGTATTTGATTTTAGTATACACATGTAACTCATACTCTGAATAATCATTACTTCACTCTTGAAACCCGTAAAGTCGTAATTACTTATAGAATAATGAAAATCATCAAATTAATATTATATGGAAAACAATATTGTTAACTTAAATAATTTTTTGTGATTTGTGATTTGTCAGAGCTGAAAAGTGCTATTTAAGCTACGGCGGATTGTGGATCGAATAGTGGTGTGACTGCGCAGGTTTCTCGGCTGGTAGGCGAAGTTTCCGGATTGCGATTATTCGTACAGCATACGATCTTCGATGGCTGGGCTTGTTTGTTTGGTCGGAATCTGATCTCGGACTTGGTGTCGTCGGTCGTGGAATCGGTCCGCCGCCGCACCGAAAGGCTATGTACGTATCCGTGGATCGCAGGCCTTGATTACCCGTCGAGGACATTCGCTAAATATTAAGATTTAGTAACCGACTAATCCTGAGCAGTGTAATCCAGGACATGGCGCCACGTAGGATACCGTATATGCAATTCATATACACGAACATTCGAAACGGCAGTCCGTGCCTGGTCTCAGCAATTGACGTAGAATCGGCGAGTGTGGTCAATCGTCCGTCACGGCTACAGTTTGATTTCGTAACGGTAGCTCGTCGATGCCGGGCTGCAATTTTGATTCCGGTCTCTTTATTGGTCCTTTTGAATGGTTCTAAGATCGTCGCGGTGGTAAGTCTTTTTTGGTGTTCTTTCTTTTCAATATTCAATTCAGTCTTGTCGTAGAGTGTAATTGAGGTCTTGAGAATAGATGTTGAAGTGGAAGAAGTTGTTTTTAATCGGTATCGGAATGCCGGTACATAACCACACTGCCGTACCAACTAGTAAATTTTCTGTGTATCCTAGTTTTAACCTGTGTCTGGTTGCGTTAAGTTTCTGTTGATAACTTCTCTTCCCTTGTTCTGATTACGTCGTGGGTGATGTCTATGGATAGTTATTTTCATCCCCTGTCCGATGATCCCACCCTCGATTTTGTCACTTCTCGACTTTGTCCTTCATTTTCTCCTTTCCTCTCTTACAGACTCTCCCATATCTTCCGTCTTCTAATGGTGACAGTGTTTTATTTTCTCGGTGAATTTGGTAATATCTCAGGATAGGTATTTTCCTCCCCTATCCATTTATGTCACCCCCGTTGTTGTGGTTTATGTTTAAATTATTGTTTTCCGTGTTTATTTAATAACGGCCTGTGATTGGTCGTTACTGGTTTGTGTTACTTATTGATCCTGAGAAGGACCTTTTAAATCATGTACGTGTACTGAATGTTCTGTAACAAATTAAAAATCGTTTGCATTCAAGAGGGGTCCCACAACATTCACATGATGATGAAAACAGATTTTAGTTGGGGTATTTTAAGACTAATCGATTGTTATACATACATTAGGTTACTAATATTATGTAACATAAAAACGGTTAGATTACGTTTTAAATTAAAGTCATTCCAGGTTTTATGTTTTTTTTTTTATTAGTTATATACTTTTTATATGCTTACTGTTTCGTTTATATTAAATATATTTTAACACGTCTGAAATAATTTAAAAGGTCCTATATATTTTAATCTTATATTGGGTTATTTTATATATAAAAAACTACACTACGCTGAAAATATTATAAACAACAATTAAAAAATATAAATTGGAGTCAACGAATACGAGTTTTATCAAGAATACACTAATTTTTCAATAGAACACGAAGGCCTGTGAAAAAAAAATTGAAAATACATACTTGTCCTCTGTGAAGGTAGGTACCTAAAAAAATAGTAATTATTTTCCCCATTATCAGTATGAATCCAAGAAAAACGAAACAAATCATGATTTTTTAGTGGTTAATTCAATAATAGAACATCCGCATTACTATGTAAACAATTCTTAAAATCATATCGAGCCCGATTATGAATAACACCTAATTTCTAACTGTTAACCTGTAAATGGCAAAATATTATTCAATGAAGAAATTGCCAACTAGATTTTGCGTTTAGTTGAGAATTATATATGATGAACTGCAACCATGTACTGTCTTAATGACTTATCCTCCCCCGAGTAGTGTTGATAGCATCAAACCGAGCAAGAATATCGTGATCGAAGGGCGTAGATAACGAAAATAATTTTTATTACTATATTTATGCTCTTTTTATTACTAACTACTAAATTTCTCAGCGGCTGTAAAACTTCGAGATTCGAATTAAATATAAACCACCGTGGACAACAAAACCTCTTTTTGAACTAAGGGTAAGAATAACAAGTCGATCAAATAAATAAAACCCATATGTATTGTCGTCTAACGGGTATGCCCATTGAAAATAGAACACGTGTGAATAATAAATAATCGGCAGTGGGTTGTTCGTGCAGCAGCAAAATGCCGCACATGGAGTAAGATGAGAAGAAATCTAAATTCGTCGAATCGTAATGAAATACGAAACGTGCTGAAGAAGTATGGATAGCAATTATTTTAAAAATGTTAATGTTAATGTTAAATGTTAATACCTGATAAAAATGTTCATGGGGTAAAACTATTTTCTGATGTAGAATACCAAATTTGTAATAACATAAGTATAGAAAAATGTTAAAAACGTAGAGTAAAAAATCGCAGTTAGTTTTAAATATTATAAATACTCGTATATATATAGTTATTAACAACGATATTTTGTACAAAGAAAAATAATTTTATAAAATAATGAACTTTGAAAACTTAAGAAAAAAAAATACTTCGCGTTATTATTGTTGTTGAAAACAAAATTTTTGATATTTTCTCTAATTTGGTATACTTTTTTTTTTTCAGGAGAAATATTTTTTTGGTTCAACTTTAGTTCGTTTATTTAATTACATTTGTCCTATTTATTTTTGGACTGCGGTATGTAGACTGTTCGCTTATTTCGAAAACCAATAGATCCATCCCTTAATTTGATTATTGGTATGCTGCTCATTGTTTAATGTCACATCGCGATGTATAAACGCGTGTACATTCCAAGTTGAATAACGGAATTGGGAACTGTATTTTTCTTTTAATAGCATATTCGTTTGAGGCTAACGCCGTTAGCTTCTTTTTTGCATATGTGACGTGTAAAAATAAATTAACCAATTCAGTTCAAACAAATCTAAAGCTTCTCATATATCGTCTTAATGTTTATTAAATTTAAACTGTTAAAAAGGTACGAAATTAACAAATATGATCTTATAATTATTCTCACACTTTACAAACTAATAAATATTTAAGTCCACCACTTTTATATTATAGCATACATTTCTTTCTAAATATTATAAATGAACACCAAGGACCTAAGACGAATTTATATCAATTGCTCAGTTAATTTCTTAATTGAATTCCATGATATCTTCAATTCTACAGTTGTTTAAAAAGATTTATTTTATAATTGTAGTTTATTATCTATTCATATAACTATATATATATATATAGTGTTTTTATTACGTAAAATTAAGTTTTGTTTGTTATCTTTAATGTAATTGTTTGGTAGTTCAAAAACCAAAAACTACAATTTTATTTTATTTTTTAATTTATTACAAAAAATTAATTAGCAAGTAATAGACGAAAAATTACAAAGCTTATTTGTATTTAATAATAATAATAATATTCACTGACACCAAATTTGCAATAGCTGTACAAATCCATAGTATTTTTCTAACTAATTAAGATTTTAGTTACTATTTCAAAATTAAAGTTTGTGCTAAATTGGGAGATTTCATTATAATACATAATTATACGTATGAGTAACATTTCAGTAATGTAATTAGTTATTGGTACAGTAGATATGTTAATGAATACTAATATAAATAAATTTTTAGTTATCTGCTAGTTATAGCTATTTTTGAGCTGATTATCCACCCCACGGTAATGCAGCAGTTTGATGAGTTGTGTAAAAATTTGAAAAATTATTCTAATTAAGGGAAAATCTAGGAAGATATGACTATCATTATTAGAAATGTCAGTGATATGATTTCTTCACATATCCCCAAAACCAGATGGAACTAAAAAAGTTGGCTGCTCATTATAAAAACTATCGTTTCCATTGACAACGTACTAATTAAACAAATTATCCGTCATGTTTATCATACTATTTTTTTTCCTCATTCGATTTTCTAAATTTCTTAAAAAAAATAAATTTTAACTAATTATCTTCATAAATAAATTCTTAGTAAATTTGATTAAATTAACTACGGCAAATAATTAAATTTAAAATATATAAGCTAAACAATTACTTATAACTGAAATGCCTTATAGTCCAGTTAGTAATTGGTTATCAGCAACTGAAGACATACGCTTACAGCATAGATTTTTAGATGTTGCAATGAAGCTATCGCGTAAAACATCTTTCAATAAAACAGAAATACAGCGATTACTGCAGTTGCATTTTATATTAACAACTAAACGAAATAGAGTCATGGACGCAGCATGTTTCGCCGAGTTTATGGATACACTTTTGGAGTACAGAAATGTTGATGCTGTGGAAAAAATGCATGTAGTGTACTGCAAAGAGAATAAAAGATACTTGACTGGACAGGAATTCGTTGAACTATTGTCTGTGTTGTTAAGAGGATCCTTGGCTGCGACAGTTAAATTTTGCTTTGATGTCTATACCGAAATGGTCAGGTCACCGATGTACATAAAAAAAGAAGACGTACTCGTTATGGCCAGAAAGAACAACATGAGGATGTCCAAAACAGCTTACATGGAGCAATACAATCGTGATTACACCGAATTCGTAATGAGTGAGATGGACAAGGATCGAGATACAAAAATATCGTACAGTGATTACCGCAAAACAGTGGATGAAGACATTGTTTGGTTACAGTTCTTAGGACCCGTTCTCCCGACACGTGATGCGATAGAATTGTTCTGGAGATCGTTTTCGACCCGGCCGTTCGTCAACAAACTCGAAATTGTAGATGATGAGATAGAAATCGTGAATGATGGGAAACCCGTAGCGAACGACATTGGGTCGGCAAGCGTAGTATCGTTCAGCAGTGACTCCAGTATAGAAACTGACTCTGTTATCCCGAATGAAAATGAACATGGAATATCAGACACCACAAATGTATTGTTTTAAATTAAAACGACTATACACTCTACGGCCAAAAATATCATAGCACCGAAGTTTCGATGTTATTGAAAGTCTCGCCATTCCGTCAAGCAAATTATGGTCAAATTATGACAAATCATGGACACGATCAACCAGTGTGCATATCTTTATTGGCGGTAACTTTTGTTGCACTCGACCGATCGGCGAATGTACAAAAAACGCAATTGACGGCAAGGCCTACGCGGTGATACATTTGATCAATCTCCAATTGATAACCGGATCCGGACATTTCACCGCAAACCGTTTTATACCACGACCAATTTTCCGCAGACTGTTTTTCCGTGGGATTAGTTCACCTCCTAAACAAAAATTACACGTAAAATGTCTGTACGTTTTAAGGTATTTCAATTTACTATACAATACACCATGTAGTTTGGTCATGTTGTATTGGCTTCTACAGAAAAAATTTTTTAAGAATAATTAATTCGTTAATTAATTTTGATAGTATCTCAAAATTATTTTCTTTCCATTTAATCTGGCTTTAAATTCATAACTTGAAACAAGAATTTACTTAATATCTTATTAAGAATCTACCTTATTTATCTCTTTTTCCTAAAAATCAACCACTTATTAAGTCAAACATTTTTTTTCTTTATTAATACATACATACATATTTTAGTATAAAAAAGATGGTAAAGTAAGAATTTGTCGATCGAACTTCGTTTTAAAGTTATAGCAATTTGAAGTTCACGATTTTGCGTTGTTATTTCAGGTTTTGCATTTAAAGCCAGATTATTTGCAATGAAAAAAAAATTGAGATCTATCAAAATCAATGAACAAATTAAATATTCTTAAAATATTTTTCTGTAGATGTCAATGCAACTTATGACCAAACTGTATGGTGAACTGTACATTTAAACACCTCAAAGTGTACAAACGGACAATATATATACAGTGTGTTCACCAATTTAGGGAACACTGAATATCTCGGCCGGATTGGATTGGAATAAATCGATTTTTTTTGTAAAAGCTAGTGGTATATAAATACATATTTTCAGATAAATTTCAAATTTTTAACCTCTCGATACGCGCATGCGCAATGCAACTTATCTTTTTTGAATAGCAACCTGTATTTTTGATACCAAATTCGGATAGACTGAATTTTTTTTAAGTCATTTTGACCAATTAATGGCTCTAAAACCAAAATTTTAAACACATTTTTAAAATTCATTATAAAATGCATAAAACCATTTATAATTATTCATTATTGGTTACTTTTTGAATATTTTTACGTATTTTTTTTTTTTTTTTTTTTTTTTTTATACGTTTTATAAACCAGATTAACATAATACGGATATACAATTATTTAATTAAAATTGATTACATGGTTTTATGCATTTTATAATGAATTGTAAAAATGTATTATTTATTAAAATTTTAATGGCTCTCATTCAGTCAATTTTGATTTTAGTGTCATGGTTAACTGGTCATAATGACTTAAAAAAATCAGTCTATCCGAATTTGGTATCAAAAATACCGGTTGCTAATAATAATAAAAAAAATAAAATAAGTTGCATTGCGCATGCATGTACCGAGAGGGTTAAAAATTTGAAATTTATCTGAAAATGTGTATTTATATACCACTAGCTTGTACAAAAATATTCGATTTATTCCAACATAATCCGGCCGAGAAATTCAGTGTTCCCTAAATTGGTGAACACACGGTATACGTGTATGCGTGATTTTTGCTCAAGAGCATTTGGCCATTGGTGTTATGTTTTGCAAGGTAAGAACTAAAAATTAGTATATGTGATGTGTACTAATATTCAACTAATATTCGAGTTCCTGGGTCCATCGTATTTATTTCACTCGTCTCCTGCCACTACCTCATGTACGACCGATTTCCGGTATATCCGCTTTCCCTCCAGGCCGTTTACCCTAACCACGCTGTACTCGATAAACGCACACTATTTCTATGTTCATTTTTTCTACAATCCCGTCCGTTCCTCTACTTCTCCCGTCCACGCATCCTCAAACATCCTGTATATTAAGACGGAACTCTCTTTCCAGCATCGCTACTCCATATTGAATTAGTTCGTCACGAACTAATGGAATTTACCAAACAGCTACATCACATTAACAGTACACCACCATCGGGCAAGATAGTCGGCGTTAATATGCGAATGAGACCTACAGCTAGAGCAGATTTCGAGCCGAATTTGTTCGACAGAAAAACGGCCATCAGTCTCCGTTTGGTGCGCAAGGGCAGAATAACTGCTGCTTGAATGTGACGGAATAAAAAAAAAAACTGACGTAATAATCAGTTGTAATATTATACAGACTGACATGAGAACATTATCGACACGTACATAAAATTGCGTGATCCGAATATACGGTCACTGATGTCAATGGAATCGGTGATTTCCTACCTCAATGGTCCGCAGTAAACACATTGCGGGGAAAACGCAAGCTGTCATCGAGAAGCAAAAAATGTATACAAACATTTACGTGAACGGGAAAAATAATAAAAAGGTTGGCAAACATTGGTTCAAACAATGCAGTTGTGTTTTAATATTCGGAGATGAATGAGGACGAAAACGATTTGCGTCAAAATCACCTTTCCGATTTCACGATAATCATTTTTCTATTTTTGAAATTATCTACAACACGAATCGTATTATTTATAATCAGATAAATTACAATTGATATTTTCTTTAATTATTAATATGTATGCATATATACAGGGGCGGAACTAAGGGATGGAAGATGGGGATTCATCCCTGGGCGTAACATTTTAGAGGGTGTAATTTTTGTAATTATTAACAACTAATTTGATGTTTTTAACTTTGTTAAATACTTTTATATGGTCTATGATAGGACGTAATTTTAACATTTTCCCCGGGTGTAAAATTCCTAGTTCCACCTCTGTATAAATATAATAATTTCAAAACGTCTGCCGTGTATATTGATATTACACAGTTGTTTTGGTTTCGACTTAGCATTGATTATTTATTTTAGATTCCGAGCAAAGCGAGGGGTGTTCCTGTTGGTTTTATCATGATGTGTGTTTTTTAAATTGTTATGAATCAATCAGCACGATTTTGACAAGGAATATTTATCCCATCATAAATTTTTTTTATTTTACTGGTAAAAAATATTATCTAGTTAGTGCATTCAGTAGATAATTTTTTGAATTATTAACAGTTATCCAAAGAACTGAACTGAAAGAACCTGACGAAAAATATTACAAAATAACCGGTAACAATTGTAGGATACCGATTATTTATAATATAAATTTTTTTAACGTCCTAATTCAAAAAAAAAAAAAATCGTAATAGTCGAAAAGGTTTGTTATGTGCAATAAAAACTTTTTTTACATTTCTCTATAGGAATTATTTGATTTTAAAAATATGATGACTTTTTTTGCACTTTTATAGGTGTTTGAAATCCTAAAATTTCTTAACTTTTGTTTTAACATAGTTTCTAACTTTTTTCAAATACGTACAGCAGTGGCGGACCCAAGGGGGGGGGGATTTGGGGCCGTAGCTCTCCCCCTCAAAAAATATGTTTTACATTAAATTATACATTACATAATATCGTCACAAGTATAGTATTACAATAATAGGTATGAAAGGTAAAATTTTTTTCAAGTTTTATTATTATGTTAGTTATACATTAATAAAAAATTAATGGCAATTGTTTACTTGTGTGTAAGGAAAGTAAGAAAATATTTAAGCCCCCCCAAACAAAAATCCTGGATGCGTGCCTGACGTACAGTTTAAATACAAAATAAATCCTTGTTTTGGTAGCTCGGTAAATTCTAACCAATGTGGAGCGAATTATATAACTATTTAATACAGCCGATATTAGAGGAGAACGATTGTGTTTATCAATAATCTAAATACCATTTTGATGGTAGATCAGCATACAAGAATTAAAAATTGAGTACATTGTAGATCCATGGTAGCAGAGAAATATTATAATGCGGTAGTGCATTATTTTTTATTCATATTAAGTTTAAATACTGTTCATAATACAATAAATTGTATTAAATTGTTAATCATACATGAATATAATTTACAATTTGAACGATCATTTTTTAATTAAATATCTTAAAAGTGGAAAAAGATAGCTCACATAGATAGATTGTTGAAAAACCAATCAAATTTCTAAGTGCTATGTCGGAAATTTCTAGATAGTCTTGTTAATATTATTTAAACCAGAAATATAGACATTGGTCATATATGGTCCAATTCTACGATACCCGTAACCCACAAGTGGGCTACGGCCCATGGGTTGAGAACCACTGACGTATTATTAGTTTTATTATCATTAATATTTACCACCGAAACCGGATTAGTGAAATAAGAGCATTCTGCGTGTTGGCTGTTAAAAGTAAAGTGGATTATTAATTTGTACAAATCATTGCCAATGTGTCGCATCAGCGCCGTTTCGCTCACACGACCCGGCTCTTGCGGCTTATATAGTTTTATTATTCGATAGATAGTTCACTAATATTGCCAAACAATATTACGCATAAATATGTAAATCGCCGTGTATATAGTTCCCTTTCACAGTGGACTGGGACTGAGTATATATAAGATATCTTGGGAAAAGCTTCCCGACGTTAACGTTTTGAAACGAAACCCGGGAAAAGGATGAAAACAGGTTTCACGCACGATGATTTTGAGCAATCCTAAAATAAAACTCATCGTCGTCCCTTGTACTATCACCTTAATTTTAACACATTTTGCATCGTTGGACTTAAATTTCACTTTTGGTTTTATTTGAACACATGAACAATAATAAGCCGAGTCTGCACAGACACTAAGAAAATTAGAGATGATGATTATGCATATTTCAACGGAAAAAAAGCTGTTCCGTAGTGGTGAAAATTAATTAAATCTATTTATAACACGTTTATATTTTGTAATTAATTATTTAAATATACATTTTAATATACTTACATAATTTGAGCATGTATCTCTTATAGTCACATATAGTTTTAAAAATTAATCCATTTTACTACAAATTACAAATTACATTTTGTATGTAAACATCTACTACAGACATTCCTGATTTTTCAATTGCAATTTATTCAGTTTTTGGCAATATGAACTCCTTAAATTTTTTAATTTACTTATGACATAATCAAGTCCAAAACCTTAAAAAACAAAATAGTTGTTTTTATTAGTTGAAATATATATATATATATTAGTAGTTATTATAGTGTAGGTAGTTAACATTAACAGGTTCATTGTACATAGTAAATAGAAAATGAAATATAGCCAATGAAAAATAACCTTCGATATTCATGGTTGATACTATTTTTTTTTACAGCTTCGTTTGCTAGCATCACTATTTCTATATAATTGTAATTTTGTGTTCCATAAAACTTTTTCCTGTTCGTAATAATTGATGAAATCATTGTTTGTTCATCGTTAATTTTCATAAAATTCTTATTTATTCATACATTCGTATCGTAAGTAACTTTTTATACTTTAATAGTTTAAAATGTAATATAATAATTTAATTTAAAAATCTATAATTATTTATACATAATATATTAGATGTAACAAATAATATTTTACAAACAAAAAAATATATAAATAAATACACAATGACTAGGCTTTACTTATTTTCTTTTTGGTCGTCGCGACAACGTAAACAAATTTTTTTTCTTACTATTCACTATAAGCGCAGACTGTTAACGTCAACGGACGAACGGCATAATAATATTCCATATCACATGAAACGCAGTCACATACCGATTCTAAACAATGGTTGATATATTGAACATAGAAAACATCATATCGAGATTGTTGAAAGGTAAGCCGCTGAATTTGGTCCACCGCGAAAGCGATAACGATGTTTATTGGATTTTATCCTTTTTTGCGATTTCGTTCTGGCTGGAATACTATCCCGTGTACAATGGCGATTGATTTCTTATATTGTTTTCAACAGTGCGTGGTGATATATCCGAAAATAATGTGGAACTATCCGAAGATGAAATCCATGGTCTGTGCATGAAATCCAGAGAAATATTTTTGTCACAGCCTATACTTTTGGAACTCGAAGTGCCGTTAAAAATATGTGGTAAGCATATCATATTAAGTTACTTAAGTTAAATTAATATATCCAATGATGCCAAAAACTAATCAGATATTAATAATTTGCGCTTTACATAAATTTATGATTTTATGGTTCCGAATTTTTTTTTATTTAATTCTAAAATTAATATATTAATATTTTAGGTTTTGATTTATTGTTGTATATTATTTATTTATTTATCTGATAAAATGTATTTATTAAATACATTTTTAATGTATTCAGAGCTAGAATTCCCAATAGGCAGAGTAGGCAGCTGCTTAGGGCGGAAAAATGTAGGGGGCCACAAATTTAATAGTGTTTTATTAAAATACATAATTTGTATAAATATATATATATGTATTTTTATAAAATTCTTTGTTTTATATTTACAAAAAATAATGAAGTATTTACTTAACTGTCCAAAAATTGGTTTTAATAATGATGGTTCATAAAATTATCGTAGTACGTTTTTATTTAAACTTGGTGAACATTTATTAACATTTTCTGAAGTAGACTAAATAACTAAATATATAAAAAAAAAAAAGTATAAAAATTTAAATTAATAAAGGTACTATATTAGTACTTTAATCCATTTGAATTTTTAACTGTAATATACTTTATTTAATAATTGGGGCTGCAAATGTTTAGTGTCTATAGCTCTAAAAAAGTGAAATCCGCCTCTGAATATATTGTATGTATCAAATATTCTTGATCATGAATATCTCGAGATATATTATATTGTTCTATAAATAAAGTAATTCGTGTTTTATTTATTAAACAAATTCTTATCTTGAAAAATCAAAACACCAAAAGTCTTAAGCACAACATGAGATGTACTGTGTTAATTTTAGTGCTTTAAAAAAAATTTCTATGTTTCGAATTTTTCGAAAATTAAATTTTTAACTTTCTAAGAAAATAACTAACTCATCAGTATAATTATTTATTGTGTTAATATTTATTTATCTTCACTTTATGAATTTTGTTGAGTTAACTAACCATACTTTGGTACAATATTTAGATGATTCTTATGTGATTTAATTATTGTCATTATTACATTATTTAATTTAAGCCATTATTAGAATATACTCGTTTGTTTAGATTAAAAAAATGTAATAATTTTTAAAATATTCTCTTTAGAAATTGGTTACATAGATTTATAACATAAGACAACGGATAAAAATTAATTAATTTAATTTACCTTACATAATTGTTTCCTTTTTTTTTTTGTACATCAAAAATTGAAAGTTCTTATATAACTAGTATTATTTGTGGTACAAACAATTTCCATTATTTTATTATATTTAAATATTTTAAGATGTAAAATATATATTAAAACAAGCTATACCTTTAATTTCATATTACTTGATTACATTATTATTTAGCAATATCCTTTTATTCTATTTAATAGAACTTACATAATTACCTTTTAAGAAAGTATAAATATTTCATGTACAATGAAATACCCTCAACAAAAAATTTTTTAATATTTTTATTTCTGTTGTAATTGGAATATAATTATTAATAAATGCATAATTACAAAAACAATATTTCATAGTAATATTGTTATTTATGACCTAATCACTTTTCAATTTTATTAAATTTTCCATAAATAAAGTTTAATAACTGTTGATAAATTATACCTTGATTCTATAAAATATTTTAATAAATGAATAAATAAAAAAATATATTATATATAAAAATAACCTTAGTCTGGAGTATAATTATTCTTTTAAATTGATCTTGAATTAAAAATTCATCATCAGGTACATACAAATATAATAAAATTGTGACTGAATGTGATAAAGTAAAATTGCTACAAAAAATATTTTTGTTAAATTAATTTCTTATTCAAAGGTTCAGTTATTTGCACACTTTATAGTTAATTGTATTAATTAAGTAAAACTAAAAATAGCAATAGTATTAAATTGTACTACTTTTGTTATTTACAATATTTATTTTTTTTAAGGGGATATTCATGGTCAATACTCTGATTTACTACGATTATTTGAGTATGGAAATTTTCCTCCTGAATCGAATTATTTGTTTTTGGGTGATTATGTGGATCGTGGTAAACAGTCGTTAGAGACAATATGCTTGTTATTGGCATACAAAATTAAATATCCTGAAAATGTTTTTCTCTTACGTGGTAATCATGAATGCGCTAGTATAAACAGAGTATATGGATTTTATGATGAATGTAAGTATAAAATGTTTAGTATATGCTTAAATCAGTTAAGTGTCTTATATTTACTTGTAGGCAAGCGTCGATATAATACTAAGTTGTGGAGAATATTTACGGATTGTTTTAACTGTTTGCCAGTGGCAGCAATAATAGAAGAAAAAATTTTCTGTTGTCATGGTGGTCTAAGTCCTGATTTACAATCAATTGAACAAATCAGGCGAATTGTGAGGCCTATAGATGTACCTGAACAAGGTTTATTATGTGATTTACTGTGGTCTGATCCCGATAAAGTAATATTTTATTTTTGTTTAATATTTATTAATTATTATTATTTATTATTATTTTTATTGCAATATTTTTTAGGATACAAGAGGCTGGGTCAAAAATGATGATAGAGGTGTATCATATAAATTTGGCACTGAGATTGTATCTAAATTTTTACATAAACATGATTTCGATCTTATATGCAGAGCTCACCAGGTTAGTAAAAACTAGCATTTAAATATCTACACTGAATAATTGTTTCTTTAATTTTCAGGTTGTTGAAGATGGTTACGAGTTCTTTGCTAAGCGGCAGTTAGTCACATTATTTTCAGCTCCAAATTACTGTGGGGAGTTTGATAATGCTGGAGCAATAATGTCTGTTAATAAAAAATTAATATGCTCATTTCAGATCTTAAAGGTGTTTTTGATTCTAAATTAATTTTCATAATTATGTTAATTGTTAGTAGTTTTATTTTCAAAATAGATAAATTATTTAAGATATAAATATGCAATTAATAAATTAAATGTTAACAATTTAGTAGGTACTTATCACTAAATACTTATATTATAAATTAAGTTAAATTAAATATCTTATTTATTTTACTCTATCATAATCAATTATTGTCTCATATGCAAAGGCAACCTACTTTTCCTAATTAATAAATACAAAATTCAATTAAATATTTCTATATTAAAATATATATAATATTAATTTTAAATGTATTATTACTTTTGAATAAAATATATTCAAAATAATGTAATTATTAGCTAAGATCTGGTTGTATATATTTCTAAATAATGTATTTAAACTACTTATGATATCTGGTTGATTAAGACTGTTGATGTTGACTTAGTTGTACATTGAGTAGCTTGTGAATGTTGGTAGTACAATTAAACCAGTTTCATTTTAATGATTAACATAGGTGCAAGATTGGTAAGAATAATCAGTTTTATCTATTTCTATAATTAGTGTTAAAATTGTGTGTAATCTTTAATTAAATAGTATATTCTCAAAACTTAAAAACCTTGTTTAATAACTTTAATTTCTAATAATTTTTTAATTAAATATAAATACAGCTGTATAGTTAGTAATTTTTTTGAATTATTTTCATATAAAATATTTAATTTATAAATCAATGATATAAGATCTATAACCATTTAATTTGTATACTTGAATGAAGAAGAAAAAAGTATAGTTTTAAAATTCTTGTATGCATAATTTTTAAAATGTTATATTTGTCAAAATAAAAATAATTTTACTAAGTCACGAGATTAAAAGATACCATTATTTTAATCAATATTCACAATTTCTTAGATAAAGCGATGTCTAATCATCTCTCTCAGTCAAAATTTAAATAATGTTTAAATATGTTCTTTAATTTACTATATATTTATTATTAACTTACAAATCAAGAGGTATAGATTATGATAGGTAGTGACTCTTGAAAACTATTAAAAAAAAAATACTGAACATGTTATCGAGAGAAAAACATTAATTTTTATAACAAATATATAATAAAATAATTAATTTACAATAAACAATATTCATTTTAATATTTTCATTTTTCAAAAAAATGCAGTAAAGCGTAGATAATTAATATAAATTTTAATTATTCTTCTAAAAGGCATTTATGGTTTATCACTCCTAATTTTATATATGTTTATTAAAATTATTATTTAAGACTATGTTATAGTACATTATTTTACATAATTAAAAACTTGTGTATTGTTTACTTTATAAAAAAAATATAGATGTATAACATATAAAATAAATATACATTATTCAATATATTTTCTTACATTTATAATATACTAATTAAGATTTTTGGTAAAATCATGTGTTTCATATTTAATCTATTATTTTTATTTCTAGCCCGCCGACAGACGAAAGTATGTTTATGGAGGATTATTATCTGGAAGACCAGTTACACCACCTAGAGAATCAAAGAGCAAGAAAAAAATAAAATAAAATAAGCCAATTTGATATATTATAAACCTAGGTACACAATAATAAAGTTTTGAAAGTAAAATTTTTTTCGTAGTCAAAATATATATTGAGTTACTAAAAAAATGTTTACATATATTGTTATAATATAATATAATATAATTTATTGTTATAATATAATATGTATATATGTATGTTTACATATATACATATTTGTATATATAATTTATACCTCCTAACTCTATATTAATATTTAAGGATAATTTTCAACTCGTAAGTTGGAGTGCTTTTAATTATTTAATATTTTTGATATAATATGAATTGCATTTTTTTTTTTTTTTTTAATTTAATTTTTATAAAATCTAATACAAAATATATATTTAATTTTCTTCGTGTATTACTAAACTAATTATGTCTATGAAAAATATTAATAAAATATTATTGTTAATATATATTATTTTATGTATTTAAATTATACTAATATTTGTAATTTACAAAATATAATATATTATGTAAATATAAAATAATATGCTAATTAGAACAATATATTGTATACGTAATGCATTTATTTAATACACAGACAAAACTAACTTTACAAAAATAAAATATAACATAGCTTAATATTATGTTAAATTAAACAAAAAATGATAGAGGAGTTTGAAAAATAAATGCAATTATATCAATAGTATAATATTATTAAAAGTACTCCAGCTTGCAAGTTATAAATTATATTTTTGCATTAATTTAAAGTATATTAAACGCTTTTCTCCTAATTTCAAACTCCTCCCTCAAAAGCCTTTATTGCACGGTTGTAAGACCAGTATGGTTCAATTCTCTGGGATCCTTATACATCTTCAAATTCTTCTCAACTTGTGAGAGTACAACGTAAATTCCTCAATTATACCTCATTTTGCCTCAAGATTGATCACCAACAGCATGATTATTCCTCAGTCTTAAATCATTTAAAACTTACTACTCTTTCTGACAGAAGAGTTTTAGCAAATCCCAATTTCCTCAATAAATTTGTGAACGGTTCCATTAATGCACCCGAACTTCTTGCAGAGGTGAACTTTCGAGTTCCGTGTAAATATACTAGGCTAATGCTCCCAACTGTGTTCCTCTTCATTCCACTAACTATGGCCGTAACCACCCTATCCACCGTATGATGTGACTTGCAAATGAGAACTTCTCTAGTATATAGTAATCACATTTGTAACTTGTTATATCTGTTCTTACTATGTATTTAGCTTTTAACCATAGACCTTATCTCAATATAAGCATCTTATACTCTAATACTGAGTTTATGCTTTTAACTATATCTCTGGCACTAGCTCGTAATATAATTTAAAATAAAATAAAAATAAAAAAGTATAGAGGTATACTCTTAATTCATATATAAATACATTATTATTTAAACAATTATTCGATGTACATTTTTACTAATAAAAAATTTATTTTGTTTATCATACATAACATTTTATTTTAAAACTTTGTATTTGCGTATCAATGCTGTTTGACGTACGTTGTGATAAAAAATTACTATAAATCTAAAATTAAAGATATAATATCTAGTAAAACAATTCTCAATCCTATGTCATCCTGCAGTTGTATAAAATGCAGGGGAATTGCAAGCAATAGTCACCACGAAGTACTTATACACTTATATTAATAAATAGATATTTAAAAATCCAATGTTAAAAAAAAACTATGCAAATTAAAGTTATTCTAATAATATATCTATATTATACGACTTGAGTATTCAATTTTATAAAACAACACATTTCTATTTACTATACCAACAATGTAATTAAGAAATCTATTTATATAAACAATAATAATTAAATTAATAATAATACAATAATATATTATAATCAATGTTTGAAAGTAATAAATTCCAAAAAGAATGGATTTCTGAAACGAACTCATTTTTAAAGAACAGCACATTGAATGAATTCCTTTTTATAAAAAAATAACGAGGACATGAACGAGTACTTATTTTCAAGGAAAGAAGAACGACATTATTCGTTACTTTCAAGTTTCAATTTACATAGATACCTAATCGAAATTGAAATATATTTTATATATTTTTTCTTAGCATATGTATTGTCAATTTGGTAATAGATATTGAGTATTGACGCGGTCCCGCTGTGATGCAGGTACATTAAGTACACCACTATCGTGGAGCCGCGCCCGCTCTCTACCTAGCCACAACTCGGACAACTACAACATGGTTTCCGATACTACCCACCTACCTCGGAAAACCGTGCAGAGGTCGGAAAAGTTATCGAAACCGGTGGCAACGTATTCATCGATCGCCTCAAATCATCAACCTTTTTCCCGTGACCGTCGTGGAAGCCACATCTTTGTATCTGATTTCCACCACCGTCACCGAAGTATATTCACCACCACCGTCCACCACATTATTTGTTCTATCATCGGAATAATAACACTAAGGACACATACAATTTTTGTTGGTTTTATTTTTGTTTGTCTAATCCGAAATTTAATTGTGACCGGCCACCTAACCGAGGAATTTTCACCAGCGAATTGAGGCCGTGTCAGTATCGACTATTAAATTTAATGTTATTAATTTATCATTACAATAAAGTTATTACATATTAGTTATTAGTCAATTTATTAATACATTTTTTTATAAATTATAATATAGGTTAACTATAATATAGATAATATATATTGTAGAAATAAATATATAAATCATATAAATATAAACAAATATAAATCATTGTCATCGCGTCTAAAAATAACATGTACAGCGAACACTGAACAATAAAATCATTTATGATGCGGGTTGGGACCCGGGGCGGATCCAGAGTCGGGAAACTGTGGGTCAAGCCATTTCAAGAAGCCATTTATTAGGGATGATACTGAATTAGAAACGAATACCTTATAACAAAAAGAACCTCAATATGCTCATAAAAGTGTACAAGTATATTTATATTACATTTTAGAATTAGTGATACCACCGATAATGACTTATTTACGATTAATAAATATAATCTAATTTTATCAGCGCAACAAACGTACGGAATAAAATATGATTTACTTAACTTTCTACTAAAACAATATAATTTAAAATATAAATTATGAATTGAAAAATTTTAAATTTTGAATATACATGACATTCATTTTTCAAGTAATTCCGGTGGGCCAACTGTCCAAGAGTCCAAATCAAGGTCTAAAAATAGATTAAAATTTCCAAGAGGCTAATTTTGTCAACAAATATTAACTGTGGATCAGCTGACCCCTTAAACCCTCCTAAATCCATCCCTGGTTGGGACTTGGTAGTACCAAACTAATATCTAACTATTTATAATAAATGCTTGTACGTAAATGTATAATTAAAAAGTTAAGTAAGTATAATATATATAATAAATAAAAAACATTGATGATTAAATATGAATTTTTATTTTATTTGGAACTAAAAAGGAACTATTGGGAGTCTCATATTTTATACAAGTAATAAAATGTTTATACATTTTTTGATAAGAAAAAAACAGTATTAAGTAGCAAAGTGGTATGTGAACAATTAAATATAAAACTCAGATATAAAAAAGTTGAAAACTGCTATTCTACTTAATTTTTTTAAAGCAACGGTTCCCAAACTTTGCCTTAAAGGCACCGTTGTCTACGGTCCATAACAAATAGTTAAAAATGTATAAAAAATTTTTTCCTTATCTATTATTTTCGTAAATAATTTATAGCAAATAATGTAATATATATATTCATAATAACAATAATTTTTATTTATTTTTTAAATTTAAAAATGCAATAATTTATAATTAAGTTAAATTTTAATAAAATTAATAAAATTGATTATCTAGGAGTATTTTTTGTTTTGTCTTTCATATTATTCATAGCAGGTTAGTATGGGCACCCAGTGGGGGGGGGGGGGGGCAAGACGGAGCATTTGGCCCTCCCTAGAAAAAATTAATTTAACAGTTAATAACAAGGTTTGCAATTCAACAATGGCAATTGAAGAATCCAGTTTTTATTTAATAACGACTAAATGTGTATAATTCTGACATATTTTATTGTTTCCTGAGAATACTTAATCTTACTCTCAAAAGTGAATATAACTTAGTAGCAAATATCAGTTCAATATTATAGTACCTAATCATAATATAAACCATATTTTATAGTTGCGATACAGTTGCTAAACCATATATGATAAATCTGGGTCTATATTAAATTGAAGAATACTGTATTCCACCAATTAATTTCGTTTATTGTTATATGTAGGGCCCGGATTTTAATGCAAAGTGCATATTTTTTTGGTTAATTATACACAATGCTCTCTAAGAACATAATTCGTTTCATGTAACGAGGGGCTTCAAAACTACAAATTTTATTTTGCATTTTTTTGCATATTTCGACATTTTTTCGTTTTTAGAGCATTTTTAGTATTATTGAGTCATTTTGTTGGTTTTTAATGCATATTAGTTCGATTTACTAAATAAATTTAGCCTATTCAAAATAAAATCAAAAGAAAAATTATTTTCTTAATATTTAAGTAGGTTTATCAGGTTTTTCCATACACATTGTCAATCTTTATTTTTCTATTCAGTTTTTATCTTATCTTAATTTATTATTGACTATGGAACGTCACTAGTATTAGGTCAAATAACAAATCAACTTTAGTTCGTATTACCTCGCAGACATTGCTCGTATTACGTATGAATGTGATTTTAATGTTTTAAATAGTATGTTAAATAATACCCAAAACAAAAAAAAAATTTCATTTTTAAGGTCATTTTTTCATTTTTAAGTTAATTTTTGTGGTAAAATGCATTTTTCAAGGACATTTTCGGTTTTTTTTTTAGAGCATTTTTGTATGGTTTTAAGTGCATTTAAATCCGAGCCCTAGTTATATGTTATTATTGAAATGTATAAGGCAACTTTTAAAATAATTAGTATAGCCATTCTAATTGTTCTATAAAAAACATCTATCAAACTTTAAATGTCGGCAACTAATTGTAGGTGATGAAAAATGTGAAAAATAAAAGTAGATACCACACAAGAAATAAATTATAATTTTATTCTTTTAATTTTGATAAAATACATTGAAATTATATGCTTGATAAATATATTTTTATAATTAGACTTACGATTTTAGTAAGTATACAAATTAATATAAAAATTTGAAATAATTAACACTATTCAGTATTAAATTCCATACTTCTGGAAGTCCCATTCCTTATTATCAAGTGGGCATACCTGTCGAGTCTTCAGCCAACGTGATATGCAATGGAAATGAAATGCATGATTGCATGTACCCCATGCAACTGTACAATCTCTAGTTTCTTCCGTTGATTGATTGGCTTGACATTCAATGCACATATCCATGATGTGATTACGACAAATAGCACAATTGTCAACGACTATGTCCCAAGCCCATAATGGAACAGCATTCCATTTTTTTACCTTGAACCTAACCTTCTCACCGACATTAATACCACATACAGCACCACTATTAACATTCGATGGTCCTGGTTGTTGGTCTTCCCGTTTTTCTTGCTTTCTTTCTACTTCATCTGCTTTTACATTCTTCTTTTCTGAAAACAAAAAACTTTTTTTCATACAACAATAATTCTACTATGTATGTGAGAAATCTAAAAGAAATATAAATTACAACACTGTTAAGACCAGAGGTGGTTTGAACAATCACATTTTACCGGGGCAGATAAATTTAAACCACTCACCTATCCAAAAAAATTTGTTCTCGCTTCGCTCGATTTAAATAATAACTACTTTAACTTCAATTATGTATCACTAAATATGTTCTTACATTTACTGGTATATTGAATTTGAATTTATTTAACCAAAATATAACTAAAAAAGCAGTATTAAGCTTAAAATTAAAAAAAAATTTTTTTTTCATGTTGTTGTTTCTGCTTGTTATTATAGTCCTAGGAAAAGTATATAAACCTATAATAAATAAGTATACATTTTGCTAAAATAAACGTTATAATATGTTAAAAACTTAAATGCTAATGTTTAGTATCATACAAAATATTCCATAATTATTATTACCTATTAATAAAAATTAGTATTATAGTTTTTATTCGTATGGTTTAACCATTGAACATATATTTAATCAATGGTTTAACACAGGGGTTAGCCAAACCTTTTTACCTACATGGGCCGTATTTTTTTTTCAGTTTTTCATTGAGGGCCGCATACAAAATTAAAATATTAAAAAATGTAATTTTAACATATATGTATTATAATAATAATACACTCGTATTTACAGATAGCAACACAATCGTATTATATGTCTAACATTGTGGTTGTCCTTATTAACTAATTTTTAATCAAATACATTAGTAGAGAAAATTTAATAGCCTAAAAATAATTATTAATTAATTTTTGAGTGCATAAAAGTATTAAAATACTATAAAATATACTCAATCATTTTTGAGGTTGAATTTTTCCCGCCAATTCGTTTATATTCCCATCGTTTAATCGTGAACAATATTTATTTTTTCGAAATTTAAGTATTGAAAATTTCTGCTCACAAATATAAGCGCTACGGAAAGAATTTATCATTTTTTTTTATAAATACATTATATACGATTAGATTATGTTCTCACCCATAACTCATCTTACATTATTATGTAATAGTCATGATTAAATTTTATTAATAACAATTTAAGAAATAAAATTAAAATTTTAAACACCATGAAATACTATATATATACTGTATATTTAGAAGGCCGCAACAAAAGGTTCCGAGGGCCGCAGGTTGCCAGTGCCTGATTTAACATATAATTTCAGACCAACTTAAGAAAAATTATTAATTATATTTTAATAAAATATACTTTTCAAATATTTAATATTATTTATAAATTGCTTAAGTCACCTAATGAATGAATAAATGATGTAGGTATATTTAACATAATAATATTCATTTTTATCCTATTTTAAAACTATAATCTAAATGTTTACTAAATATTAATTTTGTATAAGTTAATAAATCATATAATTAATGAAAATAGTCATATACTACGTTTATATGATAGCGTTAAAACGGTTTGAAATTAAACCGTTTTTAAATTAAGACCCATTAACGTCATGTAAACACTTAAAAACGGTTTAAAAAATGTAAACCGTTTTAAAAGTTAAAACGCTCGCGCTATGTAGTTTAAGAATTTAAAACCGTTTTATATGCTCAAACCGGATTATTAAATGTACATATAAACGCGGGATATGTTTTGCATTAATACGTTTATCACAATTATTGTGATTCATGTTATCAGTTATCACTTATCAGATTTTGTTTTTATATTTTTATTATTTAATTATATTAATTTTTATATATTATTATTTGTATAACTTAATAATAATTTAATAAGAACACAATAAATGCAAAATTATAAATTTATTATGAAAATATATTATGAATCAATATATTACTTATCAGATATCCTCCTGGAACAAACTACCAAAGTCATGAAGTAAAAATATTAATTTTAAAACGGTTTATAAAATATTAGCTAAACCGATTTAGTATATATTTGTATATAAACATCTAAAATTGGTTTAAGCTAAACTGTTTTATCGTTATCATATAAACGTAGTAATAGTTATAACTATATCAATTTTGAAATATTGTGATAGATATTTCCAATTTAATAACATAAAAAAAACTACATATTTAATAAATAGTGGGTACTTTAAATAGTAAATAGTTAGGTACTTTTATAAAACTATCAACAGGATTATTTTCACAGATTAAAGGGATATGTTCATCATGTTAAAATGTACACAGAACTGCAGACATGAATATAAAACAAGACAAGAAAAATGTATGTTATTATAAATTATATTATATTCTACGGGGATCATAATATAAAAAATTAATAAAAAATAACTTTAATAACTAAAAAAATATTACTGATACAACAGTTCTATTTGTAATAATTTGGATTGCATTGCAAACCTATCAACAGCCTTTTCTTTATTTATATCTATATCTGGAAAACATGTTAATACCATTAGATGGTCAAGCCTAGATTCATCCATTGTTTGATCAAACCTATGTTTGATTTTTATTAATTTGAGCTTTGAAAAAGTTCTTTCGGCTGTCGCCGAAGTGGGAGGAAGTGTACATATTGCTCTATAGGCTGTATATAAGTTTGGAAATGCTGATTCCAGATTAAACTTGCATAACCGTTTTAAGATTTGGACTATTTTAAAATCTGACTTTTTGATTTTTTCGATACTTTCCGTTTGAATAATATTATCATTATTTTCTGTCTTCTGCATCTTGGTAACTTATAAACAATTTGGATATATTTAAATCAACATTTTTTGTATTTAGTTCATCCAAATAGTTTTTAAATATTTCAAATTCTACACTTAAATTTTCCTCATTCACTGTAGTTAACCATTATGTTATTTTTTTAAAAATATCTTTAGGGTATTTTTCACCAAATTTGTCTGGAGAAAAAAATGTCAAACTTTTTAGAATATATTCAGCATTAGATTACAGTTTATCAATCATTATGTTTTATCAAGTGTAATATTATAAACTTCTTTTACAAAATTGTCTTCGGTTGAATTTGATCTTTTGTCATTTTACAATTCTCCATCCATTTTTTTTTTTTAATTAACACGTTTCCATATCAAATTTCTTTCATTTAATTCTAATTTCTCACAGAAAGTTTTTGCTTCATTAATAAAACATTCAAGGAGTTGTTCTTTTCCTAAATTTCTCAAATGAAATAATTTATTTCTAGTTGCCTTAACAAGTTTCATTACTTCAACAAAATCTATCTAGGAGGACTGCAAATAATTTGATAAAGGTGTAGTAGAATTAAATTCGCTGTTTTCCATTACAAGTTTGACATTACAAGCTAAAAAATAACTCCAAAGAGAAACACAAAGCCACAAAATTCAAAAATAAATTAAAATAAAAAGTTTTAATAAACGTCACTTGTTGTGAGTCACGGGTCGTGACTGACGGCGGTGGTACTAACTAGTAACTACTAAAGCTGCGTACACACGTTCAGTTTTTGTTTAAAACTTAACTGAACAGGCCTAGCCGTTCAAGCAAGTCCTAACGTATGTATGCAAAAACCGAAGGCTCGTTCAGTCCTGGGAGCGGCATAAACTAGTTCAGTTCAGTTCGGTTGTTCTTGATTTTTTGAATTGGCTCGAACGACCACGTGCCTACATAAATGAATAATATATTGAAATTTTCAGATATTATGCATCGTATATCAACTATTATTAATACTATTAATTATTATTTATTTATATTTATTATTAATTATTAACTATTAAGATATTATATCAAAAGATTAAATACAGATATAATAATTATAAATAATTATAAAACTATTGTAAATGATTATCTTCAGTATTTTAAATTATAATAATAGTATGGACTCTCGAAATTGGTCACAAAAGATTCTGAGTGAATTTATTAAACTATACCGAGAAAACCCATGTTTATGGAAAGTTAAAGCATCAGAATATAGTGACGAAAATAAAAAAAACGATGCATAAATCGTCACACTTAACTGATCAACTATACGAATCGTGTGTAATGAATCACGAGCTCCGACTTACCTGAACACACTTTAAGTTAAGTTTGAACTGAAGACTGAACGTGTGTACCCAGCTTAAGTGTATAGTTATATAATACATATACATTATACATTTAATGCTTGAATGGTGGTATTATTTTTAAATTTCAGATAATATCAAATAGTGTAAATAATATGGTATAGATAAATTTAATTTTTCGTTGAACAATGCACAATCCATAATCTATTTTAAAGAAGTATTTGGAAACTTTCATTTTTGATAAAATGCAACGCTCTTGATATGTAATAATAATTACAGATTTGTAATAATAATATTATTATAAAATGTAGAAAGATTGTTTCGTTAATTTGGTAGACGTTCATTGTATGAACTAATTTAATATTTACCAACTAAATACTTATAAATAACTTTTTCCTCGAAAGACTAAAGTGAGCGATGATGATGATAATCTGAATGTCATTGCGTGCCGTTGGGTACGTTGGAAAACGTCGATAACCAGCGATTATTAAGATAATATAATAATATGCAATTTACTAGATTATATATTTTAGTGGTTTTAAATGTTTTAATACTGTCTCACCACTAGATATTTTTCGCATTCAAATGATTTTTTCAAGTTTTTTTTATTTAATAAACTTCTGTTGACTGTCATTAGTATGCGGTCTACCTGCGGTTTTTACCTAGGCTTAAGTTTATTTTTAATAGATACACTTTAATCTTTTTCTTTGGTCAACACTTTATCTTAGTTGGATTCACTTACACAAGCGTACACTCAACGGATCGAAAGTTTATGGAGACCATTACGCTTAAAATAGTTAATAATATGTGTGGTACATTTCCTGATCTCCTTCCAAGGCAAAATTATTATAAGTTATGTAAAATAAATTTAACGTAATACGTATAATACAATGATACATATTTTTGCAGATATCTCATGGAAACATGGTGGCGTGGCATAAATAAATCAGATTTATTTAATGCATTTTTGAGAGATATGGTGGAAGTTTTTGTCTAACATATTACATTATATTTATTTATACTCATTGACAACAATTTTTTTGACAAACTAATTTTTAATTATTAATTTTTTACTATTACTACTACAATAATTATACTTTAATATTATGATATAATTTGTAATTTATTTATTTGCGGTAGACGGCATACTATATGACACAGTGGCGCACGCAGGGGGGGGTAAGGGGTTGTACCCCCCAAAATTTTCTCCGATGTCTAGGTTAAAATTTACAAATTTTACAAGTTTGAAATATGAAGAGCTAGTATTGAATACCTAGTACCATTGATTATAGAATAGTCTATTCTATTATTAATGCTATTATTTAAGTCAACATATATTAAGGATTTGCATAATTTTATTAATTGTAAAACGTGTTATTTTGGTTATAACTTATAATATAATATTTTAATCTAATAAAAATTATAATATACCTAGATAGTACCTATTATATTGGCATTGATTTAGAACAGGTTATAAGATACGTTTCTAAATATTTGTATAGAAGTCGCAGACTCACAAGCCGGTGCGAATAAACTGCAAATCGCACAATCGCAATGTCGTGCTTACCATTTTCGGAATCCATATGGTACGATTGAAAACTGCAGCGGACAAGTTTAATTCACAATAGTAGAACAACAGTAACATACAATTAACGGCATTAATAACCTGAAACTAATAGCTTATTAATTATTCCATGGGACGATCACGTTGATTGTTATCGAGCGCGTTTGTATATAATTGTTATCTACTGTATCGCCAGTACATATGTATCAAGCATGCGTGTTTCACGTTTAACCCTCGTCATTGGGTCTTTGGTTGGACCCGTCAACGCCATAGAGTAATTACTAATTAATTAATTTATTAATTATTCTATGGTCGACGCCAATCGGGTCCAAGGTTGTCCAGGAATCGATCTTGATGAGCTGTATTCTGAATAGGGGAGAACAAGGCAAGTTTTTTCAGGGGTAAATTGACACATAACAAATATAAGTTATTCGCGACGTGCATTTAATATGAATCCTAC